TTGCTCTATCTACAACAGAAGCATAATACATCTCAACTGCAAAATGTTGTACACAACTACTCTAGATGAAATATCAGCAGGAGGATTATCAGATTTATGGAAACAGTATCCCTATCTTTTGCAATAATACTGCTGCTACTTGTTTAACAAAGAATCCAGTTCAACATTCTAGAACCAACCATTTTGAAATTAAACATCACTTCATTATAGACTACGTTCCAAAAGGTGTTATAGATATTCAATTCATTGATACTAAACATCATTGGGTTGACATATTTACAAAATCTTTAGCCATTGAGAGACATGGTTTTATAAAAAAGAATATGAACATGGTCTTTATTGAAGAATGATGTTTGCTTCTAAATAGAGTATCAAAGTCTGATCTTGATCAGAAGTAGCTTCAGTCAGAATCTAGGTAACTAATTGCCTCTGATGAAAAGTGGTTTTTGAAAAAACTTCAGACTCTGAGACTCTGGAGTGGATTATTTGCTTCGGATAGCATTTAAGTGGAAATATCTTTTTTCTTCACATGACACTTGTTCCTCTTAATAAATTCACATCTTGTTAATTGTCTTGTTTGCATAGTGGTTGAGCGGGTAATATCTAAAGAGTAATGATTTGAGTCCTCTTTGATTTCTATGTATAATCCCCTTTGTCATTTTTTTTATTTGTTCTGTGTTTCTATGTGCTATACTTTTTTTTGTATTTCTAAAATACTTTTTTGAGAGGTCTTAAAGCAAATACAATTGTCTTACACCTTTCTAACAATACACTTGACTATATCTTTGAGACTTTTTTTGTGTTTCTACCGTCTCTGTCTAAATCTATGTTATACGAAAATCCTTTCTTGTGATGGCCTCTAAATTTATTCTTGGTATGGAAAACCAATTGGTTGTTATTATTGAGGGACTTGTTGACTTTGAAGAAATAATGGCTCAAGGATTTGATCGTCAAAGGGTTGTCTCTCATAATGGTTGGGATTGTTTTTTTTATATGCTCCATGGTCCTACCTACCCTTACTTAGTCTAAGAATTATGGGTTAATGCATCTATCAAATAACTAAATCTAGAGCAAGCAATTATTTATGTTGTTTCTGGTGTCCCTATCACCATCACCCCCACCTCTATTGTTAACGCAATAAACTGTGGGGATGAAGGTGTTACTCCATATATACTCTTTTGGGAATCTTCTTTGTCTTCTCGTCTTATCTTTGACAATCTATCCGACCCGTCTAAAGTCTCTAGTCTTAATTCTGAGGCATCAGTCTGGTATCAAATTTTGATCTCAAACTTCCTACCAAAGAACAAGAATATGGAAACTTTAGATATTGATGAAAAAGCTTTTCTGCTTCTTCTCAGCTCATATTTAAAGATCAACCTTCTCCATGTTATGTTTGAATATCTAAAGATTGCTCTCATATCCTTTCACGGGGGAAAGTCATGTTTCATTCCTTATGGAATGGTTCTTTTAGAACTCTTCATTCAACAAGGAGTAGAGAAAACTATGGTTGACGTTTTTTCACAAATTCGGGGTGATAAGTTGAACCTAACAAAAGCTTTGGAAGTGGTTGACTTGTTTAAGGTCAAGGTGATCTCTCTGAATGGATCTTCTTCTTCTATTTAGCTTTTGTTTTTTATTTGTGGTGTGTAGCTTATCCATTTTCTTTTAATGGAATGTTTTCTCTCACTGCTTTTATTTGTGTTACTTCTATTTGTTGCTTGTAATGTTTATGTCACTCTTGTTTTTCTTACTGATTGATGAATAAGCATTACTAAAACTTTGACGGATATCAAGGAAAATTTTATGGCTAAAATGGTAGAGGAATGGAAATGTTGTTTATTCATTAAAGAGGACATTACACGTGCATTTGTTCTTCTTCAAAGATAGTTAAAGTTCTCAGATTTGATCATTTGTGCTTTCTTGTGTCTCCAAAATAAGCCTTCCAGCCCTTATCCCGCTCCTTCTTGAGACTTTTCAGATCTGTCTCAATGGTACTTCCCTCTTTAAAAATGCCAACAGATGTGCCTTCATCCTCTGTAGTTATGGATCTTTGTTAAAATAACATCTGCTCTTATAGAGGTGTTTCTGAGTCAAACTTTTTCAGTCTTGAAGACTAAGTTCCTTAAGTCTTGATTCTTCCTTTAATTCAGTTCCTTGAAGACCATGCTGTCAGAATCTAACCTTGACTATCATGAAAATTATGGTACACATGCGTATTCTCTCTCTTTCTCTCTCTCTCTCTCTCTCTCTCTCTCTCTCTCTCTCTCTCTCTCTCTCTCTCTCTCTCTCTCTCTCTCTCTCTCTCTCTCTCTCTCTCTCTACTATCCCGTTTTATTATTATTATTAATGACAAAAGAGGGATAAAATTATGGGAGTATTTAAAGAGGATAAAAGTATTTTGAGTACTTTTATATATGCATGAACCCATATTATTATTGGTTTTATCTGAACATTATTTTCTTATGCCATCAAGATAAGTTTAATTAACTTGGATATAACTTAGGGGGAGCTTACAAAACTCAACTTTTGTACTATTAGACTCAGGGGGAGCTTACAAACCTCAGACTATGATGTTATCAAGTTAGTTAAATTGACCAATCATTGTTCTTAAATACTTATGTTTCTCATGACCAAAAAGGGGGAGATTGTTGGAACAAAATTGTTTATATCTCTTGGGCTTTTCTGATAACAAAGTACTTAAAGAAAAATTAAGTATACTAATATTTGTTCAAGTATGCAGAATCATAAGCTTAAAAATTAACCGAGAACTGGCCTTGATGAAAACATATGTAGATAAGCTAAATGACTCAAATTCTGAAGGATTAGAATCTGATGACTCTAAACTTGGTATCTGAGCTTCTAGAGGATCAAAATCTGAATGTGGTATCTCATATTTTGATAACAGCTCAAACTCTGAAGACCTCGGCTAAAGTTTTTATAATTTTTTATTGCATAAGTTCTTAAGATTTCTTATCTTAGTATATCTTAGAAATATTAAGTTTTAGAAACCTTTGTGGTTGTTGTATCACTTATATACTTCTGATTGAACATCAAGTATATTTTGTATTCATTCTGCTAAACTATTTGTTTAGAGTAGAAGAAGTCTCTTGCTAGTTTGTTTGAGCAGTGGAAGTCTCTTGCTAATTTGCTTGAGCAGTGGAAGTCTCTTGCTGGTTCGTTTGAGCGGTGGAAGTCTCTTGCATGTATGCTTAAGCAGAAGTCTCTTGCTAGTTTACTTGAGTGGAAGTCTCTTTCTAGTGTAATTAAGTAGTTGAAGTCTCTTTCTAGTTTGATTGAGCAAAGTGTAATTAGTTTGATTATAGTGAAAATCTCTTGTTAGACAAGAGGACTTAACTACTCTCAGTTTAAGAGAGGAATCAGGATAACTCTGTGTGTTTCTTTACTTCTTAATTTTGAACATTATTCATTCTGCTGCTAATAACTTTGATCAAACTCTGAACTTGTTCAGATTCTGAAGTTGGTTTTTTCAGAAGTGAAAAAGAATTAACATACACAATTCAACTCCTCCTTTTTGTGTATTTTTCTCACCTTTAATCACAATAAAAATAATGTGAGAAGTCGAGTTAAACCCGTTGTAGGAACCAAATAATAAAGGGAAAAGATGGGGAAAAAATAGTCAAAGCCAGCGTGATAATAGAAAGGATAATAGATGCAATGAAAGTTAGAATGAATTCTTCAAAAGAAGAATTATATGCCAATATTGTTATACTTTTCAAGAAGGTGAGAAGACCCAAGAACAAAAGTTTCTCCTAAGAAGATCAAACCTATACAAAGTCAATTCAACGATGCGATCTTCTTCATATTTTGAACATGTTGACAAACTTTTTCCGAAATTTCCAACTTCAAAATCTCAAAAAGTGTTTTCAAACGAGCTTGCAAAAAACCACCTCCTTCACCACTTTTACCAAAAATCCAATTCATCAACGAGATGTTAGATTCACCCCAATAAGAAAATGCAAATAGGGGTTTATTCGAAAATTCATTTTCGGATGAACCCTAATTTCAAAAATTTCACACAACAAAATAAGGTGTATCCAGAAGTACATCTCCGGAATATCTCCTGGGATATGATTGAATTTCTAAGGTCCATATTGACAATGAAGGAAATATTCAGTTCATCAAGTTTGAGCTGAAAACGAATGAAGATTTAAGGATTATGTTGAGTGCATTTCACCATTACATAGTTTGAGTTGAAGACAGATCGAATTGGATACGAAAATTGTGAGATCCAACAAAGATATTTTGAAGATGTTGAAACATTATACTTGAAGATGAAATGTATTGTTTAATTTATGTTAACGATATCAATATAATTTTTAGTTTTTTATGTATGTCATAATAATTATCGATGTTAATTTATCTTTGTTTCTACGGTTGTTTCGTTTTTGCATTTGTTTCTAGTTCAATAGGTTCAAGAAATGCAATTATGTAAGAAAGATGAAGATGCATTTGTAGATTAAATTTAATCATAAAATTGCCGTGTAATTTAAAAATAAATAAATTGTGTGTGAATGATATGCTTCTGAAGATGCTTTTTAAATTCTAGTGATAATTTTAATTTTTTTAGTAAGATGAAAAAACAATACTCGTGCATAAAGCAATCCCAAAAATTTAATATAAAAGTATCTATTTTTTGTCAATTGAGTTAGATTTACTTACAAATTTGATAATTTAATATAAAAGTACCTATTTTTGTCAATTGAGTTAGATTTACATACAAATTTGATAATTATCTATTCATAACATTTCTAGCAACACAGCATGAATAGAAAATAAAATAAAATCAAAAGGCAATGTTTGAGATTCAAGGAATTTAACTCCAGTCTCTCAAGCTGTCAATGTGAGTGACCCCACTTATTTGGAAACTCATAACTTAACCAACCGATTTGTAAAGAGTAACTTAGCTAACCCAACTTCTAACTCTTCTCTTCTCTAAAACATTCTTTCATTCACCCAAAAAAATAACAACTATCCACTAAATGGGGTCAATTCCTCTTGGAACCTCAGTATCTCCAACTCCTATATACACTTCAAAAATCTCATCTCTCAATATCAATTTTAAGAAATCAAGTGCTTTCCCATCTTGGGTTTCACCTTCATCTCTTGAATTATCAATTCTTTCTCCCTCCCAATCAGGTACCTTTTTCAATTTTTTAGCTTAACTTGTTGTTCTGTAACTTCTTCTGTTACCATATTTGACTTATTGTTGGCAAATTCCTTAATTGTGTTATTGGATGAAGTGGAATAATGGTTGAAATTTGAAAGCTGATGATGATGTCTATGAAATTTGAAAGCATTGGATCAACTTGTCTTCTGAGAAATATGGGGAAAATGAATTAAACTGGAAGATTTTTCGATTAGTGTTGTTCAAGGGAGGTAGGTTTGATTGAAAAAAGGAAACATTGAAACACTATTTAATACTACAAAATTAAAGCAATTAAGGCATATTTGGATTAACTTATTTTAGATTATATTATGACATAAGCACTTCTGAGACTTTTGGGGAGAGCCTGTGTAAACAACTTTTATTTTGTTTTTTTGTTATAGAAACAACTTATACATAATCACTTATATGATTAGCGTTTATGCTATAAGTGCTTAATTAAGCTCTTTATTCAAAGAAAGTCTTTATCTTTAGTAAGTTGGGCTATAAGTTAAAGAGGAAATGGATATACGGGGTGCTGGAAAATTTCATAATTTGCGCTGTTAAGTTCGGTAGGAACTTAAAGTAATGGTGTTTGGATGTAGGATTATGCAGAGCCAGTCAAGTTGTTGATTTGTTTCCAACTGTGTCTCCGGAAATTACCGTCAGAGAGGCGAGATTAGAGGACTGTTGGGAAGTGGCCGAGACTCATTGCAGTTCTTTCTTTCCCGAATATTCGTTTCCATTAGATTTTGTGCTGAGGATGGATAGATTGGTGGCTATGTTAGCAGGATTCTCTTTACCGAGTGGTTGCAAAAGAACCTGTTTGGTTGCTGTGATCGGCAACTCACTTGATCAAACTTTCTTATTTGGAAGTGAAGATTTCAAAATTGCGGGTCTTGACGGGAAGTTAAGCCTCAACAAGGGATATGTAGCTGGCATATTGACAGTAGACACCGTTGCCGACTTTCTGCCTAGAAAGGGACCGCTGCGACAGAGAAGGTGAGTTAAAACTTGTTTCTGAAACTTGGGTTAGTGAGTGAGAATGTATGGCATGAATATGAATCTGGTCTATATGTTGTAGTCATGTTTTGAAATGTGCGTCTCTTCATGCTTCACCATCTTTCTTAAAGTGTGTGTTTGACTCTGTAGTACTGACACCTCTGAAAAAAAGTGTGTGTCAGTGATGATATCCGAAACCGACACCAACACTTGTAATAACATTTAATTTATTCATTATTTCAAATTATTATCAGTGTCGATGTCGTGTTTCCCGTGTCCATGTTTCATAGGTGATGAGAATTGATTTTGTAGGACTGGAGTTGCATACATCTCAAATGTGGCGGTGAGAGAAAAATTTAGACAGAAAGGAATAGCAAAACAGTTGGTGGCTAAGGCAGAATCCCAAGCCAGAAGTTGGGGATGTCGCGCCATTGCGTTACACTGCGATTTACGAAATCCTGCAGCGACAAAGTTATACGAAGGGCGAAGTTTTAAATCTATAAAGGTTCCAGAAGGAGCTAACTGGCCTCAACCAAAGACCTCACCAGATGTTAAGTTCAACTTCATGATGAAACTTCTCAACAAATCAGCAGTTTCTTAATGTAATTAGATACTTGCTAGATAGATTTTTTCTGTTATACAATGTAATGTAAATGAAGACAGGCATAAGTAAATGAAGAATTTAAGTTAGAAATTGTTGAGTTACTCTAATTTGCAAAGTACTTTATTTCTATTCATGATGTTTTAGAAAGGACACACCATATACTCTACTAAGATTATGAGTTATGCTGATTTTGTACTGAACTTCCATAGCAGAATGGGTTGATCATAGTTTTGTTTTCTGTTTTGTCAGACAGAGAAGTTGAAATTAATTCATACTCTTTCCACAATTAGAAAGGTTACATCCTGTCAGATGAGACAGAGTCCAAATGCATGTTAGAATACTCCTCCGTCTTTAGATTTCTGCATACAGATTAAAAAAATATAATAGTTGTGTTATAAAATATTACATTGAGGTGGAACTCGGTATTTCCCGAATTTTCAAAAAGAAGTTTATTTATCATTCGAATCAAAGTTTATTTATCATTCGAACTCAAGTGTTTGATTTTGTTTTTATTTATTTTAGTATATATATTTATAACATAATGGAAGATTGTTATTTAGTCATATTAATTTTTTTTCAATGATATTAGTTTTGTTTCAAATCTATTATTTTATTGTATCATTATAATATTATATTAATAAAAGTTTATAATTTATAATTTATAATTTAAATATTTAAATTTTAACTAATCTAATTGATTTTTTTTAATTAGTTATCCAAAATAAAATCAACCTATACATAATTTATCTTTAGATTGGGTGATTTTTGCCTAAAAAAACAATACATAATTTTATCTTTGTGATTTTTTCCTAAATATACAATTCAATCCTACTACAAACACTCTAGAGATCACACTAATTTACCTTCACCTGTTTAGGAGTTAGTTACAGCTCCCTAGAACATCTCATATACTTATTTATCAAACTTTACCCAGTAATATAAATTTTAATTAAAAAATTCTACCAAACATCAAAAAGCTTTTTTTTTCTTTATTTATAAATAGAGGGACTATAATTACAAAATAAATTATACACACAAATGCAAAGTCCTGATTAGAACTCAAGCAAAACTGGCTTGCAAGTAAAATAGGGAAATGTTTATCCTCTTCTATGAGATAGAATAATATCCTATAAAAATTTAAAAATATTAATTTGATTTTAGAAGTGCATCTTCAGAACTCATTTATACATCAAAATACATCTAAAGTGAGTCTTGTTCCATTTTTTTCTTCAAAATTTAGTCCAAAGATGCATTTCGGGATTCACTTTATGCGCACCCTAATATATTTTTAATTGAGACACACTCATTTTAAGATAAATTGATATAGAGATATATCTTCAGATTCATCTCAAAAAATGCATCTCCATATTCACCTCAGACAAGATACGAAAATACATTTCTAGACGCACTCTGATTACGTCGTGATTAGCTGACCTAGGTGGTCTTCCAAGAGTGTTTGGTGTCATGATAGGATGTGAAACACTATAGAACCACGTCATGTAATCGTCTGTATAAGCCTAGTGTATAGGATATGACACCCTACAATACTCCTCTAGTACCAAGTAACTCTCGAAATCCTCAAGTATCACATCGAAATCTCTACGATGCAGGGTGGGAGGAGCAGACTTTGAGGGGGGTCTTAGAATAATCTACAAATAGCTAAACTGGCACATCACTCACTCGAGAAGATAAGGATATATTAGCGCTAACCCATATGCCAATCACCCGGAGTATAAGAAAATGACATCAAGCTTACGGGTTTAGTGGTGACCCCTGCGTATGGACAAAAGGAAATGTCATTTGCTAGATTACGGTCAAGATACAACCGAAATGGCTCGATCCCATTATTCCCTCTTTACAATGCAAAGGCGGTAGCACGTGGTCAGTCCTTAGTATAGGTAGGAACAACTTCTCACCCGGTGATGCGAGGAAAGCGGGAGAAGATTCATCCCTAAAATATAATTCAGATGAAATATTAATAAAAAGTGTAACAAAATAGTTATGAAAAATATTAGTAACATTAAATTATCATAAGTATCATACAACTCCCTATTATTTGTTTTTTCTTCTAAAGACAATCATCGCCCAACTTCGAGTACATGTAGACCAAATAGGCGGCCTCCTAGTTCTACTCGTGAATCATCGTCAAGTCGATAAAGTACTTAATGTAGACCACATCGATGTAGGTTACAATTTTGCCCATAAAAATGGATGTGCCAACCAAGAACAAGAGGTAACACCTCAAAGAACAAGTATGATGGTAGTCAACCTGTATATCATCACCTTCGACATCCTCATCCCAATGTAGGTGGTCTTTATAAATATTTTTCAAAAAATTAAATCTAGCATGAGCACCTTTGGCGTCAACTACCTCATTTGCAACCTTAGTTGGATCAGCCCCCAAATATGTAACCAAAATCTCATTGGCTTCCTCTCGATCGAGCCTTATGTGACCCAGTAATTTTCCCCTGATGGGAAGATGCAAGAGGCATGAGACGTCATTCAGGGTGATAGTCATCTCGCCTATATGAAGGTGAAAAGATGACGTATTTGAATGCCACCTCCCTGCAAATACTACCTGCATGCCATGGTTTATGGTCATGTACACAGTAGTACATAAACCGTCAATACCAGAATAACTGATAACATCCCTGAACCAATCAGCGGTTGGTTGTTCCAAATTCAATGTCTTCCTATCGTGATTTACCGATTTTAAACACTGACACTCTTGTAAAAAAAATCACCTTTAGTTGCAACTTAATTAGTTTGAAACATATGTAATGTAAAAGTAAATAAATGTACATCTCCTTCCCAAACATGCCTAGAAACATAGTCTGCATAGAGATGAAGTAAAGAGGTGTCAAATGGACCTCGTGGATCGCTCTCTAAAAAGGCATCAGCAGCGGGTTCATCCTGGGCTTCAAGGGCTTCAAGTGTTGCTTTATCATATAGGGACTCGTGGCCCCATTAAGTAGATGCTTGAGATAGACGACTACGAGGAGTAGAAACAAATAGTAGGGAACCTCACCGTTGTGAATCATCAAATGAGTTATCATTAGCTTGTGGCATCATGGTCTTAGCTACGACCCTCTCACGTTGTACATACGCGGTTTGGGACACACAATCGAGCCTAACTCTGCCATGGTTGTTTTTAGCCATTGTGCATGAGTTACAAACATACATTCACATCACAAGTTCATCCAAAATTTATCCAAAACACAAATCAGGAGATACATCTCCAAAAATAATTTAGATAGAATCCAAAGATGCATCTCTGGATAAAGTCGCGATTTTCTTCGCAATGGCAGAAACACAACAGCTGCCTTAACCCTCCAAACAAATGTCAATGCATGTCCATTTAGGCTACCTATTTCAATTTCACTACTATCCAATATAGATAAAACAACTTATGTTATCTAAAACACCATTCAAAACAGAAAGAAATAAAGAATTTTGAAAAACTTACCAAATCAAATGGATGAGAAAGAGAAGCTTGAATAAATGAGAAGCTTTAATGAATGAGAAAGTGCTCCAATGGTATAAGCTTGAATGGATAAGGCATTTGAATGGACGTGAGAGCTCGAATGATATTTGAGTACTTTTTAGAAAATGAAGGAGGAAGAGGGAATTGAAGGGTATGACGCGAGTAAATGAAATAAAAGCATTCGGAGATGCATCTTCAGACCACCCACTGAATTTTGAATTAATAGTGTTTACGAAGATGTATCTTTGGACTCACCTTTTATGCACACGGAGATACATATCCGAATTAAATTTTGACAAAAATTGGGTGCCTCGTCAATTTGTGTTGAAGTGTGTCTTAAAAAAAGTGCATCTGAATGGACGCTTGGGACAATTAAGACTTATCAAGATGGTCGGGGAGCACCCATAAGATGAAAACTAACTCCCTCAATTCATAGAATTTGGCATGATAAAACGAATGAATATTGTGTGTATATAATACATTAGAAGATATATTTTTTAATTTTAAAAATATTTTTAATTTTTCACAAAGATAGAAAAAATAATTCTCTTTATTGTGTTAAATAATTCCCTTAAATTATTTCATTGAACCTTAGTACAGCCTTAAGGATCACATTTTTTTAAATCTTAGTATAAATTTTACTTATCACTTTTGTAACAATTTTATTTATTAAAAGTTAATCAATCTTTAAATGATATTTTATGTTTATTTATTTAATCTATAATAATAAATCAATCCTTCATTTTTTTTTTTAACTTAGCAACAAACTTATCCTAATCTGAAATGTATGAGAAGATGACGCATATAAAACGTAAATTTTAGATAGAAAATACTTTTAAAAAGAAGTAAGAAATCAACTTCACCGTTTTTATATGATATTGGAATTTATATACTTTTAGGTTTATTTTAAGTTTTAATTATATGTCATGTACATTTGATTCCAATAAATATAATTTATTTATAAGTTTTTTTTAATTTTTATTCTGTTATATAAAAGGATGGAAATTTTACATTCCATTCCATGAGAATATAAAATAATTCTCACTTTATTTTAATATGTATTTGAAAAAAATACAAATGTTTGGTAATTCCCAGTGAATAAGGGTTACGAGAGACTTTAAGGTTGTTAGAGTAATGAGACCTAACTCACGTGAGGTAAAAAGATGTTGTGTCTGTGTGTTTTTTTTGTGTTACTGGTCATCCTTTAGTCTTATTATACTGATATATTTAGTCTCTAGGGTTTGAACCGAGTCTCCCTAGAACATAATAACCACCATAGGAATGTGTGATTGATTTCCTGAAATCCAGGAGGTGTAGTTAAGTTCCACGACTTTCTAAGTGACGTCTGTTGATGTAGTGTATGCTTTTGGACATAGAAATTGGAGGTTCAAGCAACACATCTAGACAACTACTTGAACCAAAGTGGGGGTGGGGGGGGGGGGGGGGGGGGGGTGCTCGAATAAATGAAAGTGCGACTCGGGTAGGACCAAGGACTGAGCGCATGCTGCTCATC